AATGAATGAATGAATGAATGAATGAATGAATGAATGAATGAATGAATGAATGAATATAAAAGGAAATTTAAATAAAGTTTCAAATAATGTTTTTGAAATTATATAGCTTGTATACTTCTGAATTTATTAAAGTTCAAACTGTACTACGACTTTTGGGATACCCCCCCCCATTAGTAATTTCTGATAAAAAATCATTGCCTGTAAAATAAGTTACCACATGATCAAATTAATTGATTCTCTTTCAATGAATATTAACTATTCTTACAGAGAAACACACATGGAAACCATATTTGCACAACAGAAGAAATAAGCATACTGGTACTCCACATTTAGCAACCACAATTGGGACCAGCAACTTGGTTGTTAAGTGAGGTAGTTGTTAAGTGAAACCATGACTGTGTTTATGATATTACTTCAGTTTTTCTTTGCTTTACAGACCTGCAAAGGTCATAAATGTGAGGATTGGTCGCAAAGTTACTTTTTCATCACTGTTGTAACTGCAGATGGTTGCTAAATGAGGCAGTCACTAAACCAGGGCTACTTGTACTGGAGTGGCAAGTAAGATGAACAAAAGGGAAAAATGATAAAAAAAACTGGATAGAGAAGAGGTGAAGGGAAAAAGTAAATGAATAGAAAATGAATAGAAAAATAAAAAGAGAGTAGCTTCATTTAGGCATGAACATTCAGCAGGCAAATAGCCATTCCATATGACACATAATCTTTAAAGTCATGTCTATATCATTTCCAGCTCAGCCTATAACAGGATAACTAAAACAACAAACTGTAATTGATTTAGTAATGTTCTCATATTGTGGAGAGGCACAGAGATAATTTTGGAGAAGACAGCAAATCATGAGTTGAGTCTGGGAAAACAAGACTGTGTGAAAAAGAGACTTAAACTTTCCCCCTCCCCTTAATTATCTTGGTATAAGAGGGAGGGAAAGAGAAAGGCAGTCAGGCCTTCAAAATCCTGTTATTATGGCCTACCTTAGTAAAGTTGAGTTCTAGGATTTCTTGTGGTTGTCTGTTTCCTCACCTGGCCTAGCTAGAACAGCTGACACCAGTACTACATTGTCAGCATGTACTACCACAGAAATATGCTAATCTGCATATTTACATGCATAATGGGAGTATGGGAATCAGAATTATCCAGGTGTTCCACAAGGAAATTCTTACAAATATTGAACAGGCAGGAAGCCAGCATGCAGCCTTTTTTCATACCTTGGTAGGCTTGCTAGGATACATTAACGGACCTAACGGGTTGCCTGTTACAGTCAGAGATGTATTACTCTATAGCTTTTGTATGAGCGCTAGTAAAAGTGGGTTAATAAAAGGTATCTCCAATTTATGCACCATCTAACTCTACAAATCAAACTAATTTAAAGTCAATAAAAGTTGCATATAAAGCCAACTTCGGTTAGCTTCTGTATTTTCCTACCAAGTACTAAAGTACCAATCCTTGATCTTAAGTGGACTGTCTCATCCTAACCCTCCTTTTTTCTCTAATAAAATATTATCAGCAAATCTCTACCTTTCAATGACAGACCATTCAGAAAACAAAATCCCTATCCCCCCCCCCCAAAAAAAATACCCTACGGGAGAGGCAATTGGGAGAGGCTCAAGATGCTTTCAGCTGTTCCATCCTAAGCCCCTCCCTCTTGGTCATGTGATCCAGAGCAGGGCATATGCAATCCATATATGCTTGCCAGAACACACAGACACAGGGCAGAGTCGAAACACACATAAAGCGTGGCAGTACCCATGCACCAACCCTAATCCGACTCTCACAGCAACACACACAGAGACAACACATGCAGTATGCATGCAACCTGATTAGTCCCTTGGAAGATAGTGCACACATACACCCAGAGGCCACTGCTGATAAATGGCTGGGAAGAATTCTATAAGCCACGCTTTGAATGCTTCCTCTACCTTCTTTCAAACAGTTTCTGTCCAGTTTCTTTAAAGTGAAGGCAAAACTGAGCATACAAACCAAGACAGCGTGGAGGTGTTTGCCATTTTCCATCTTCACACTTTATTTTTTGTGGCCCATGAAGACGGAAATGTTCTTCACACCTGAAGCTGATTTCTTCTCCGCTCCTGTAGATTCTCATCTCAGCGATATTGATGGCATTGGGAAGCTGAGGTGGTGGAGGGCAGGTTTCTTTAACAAAAACATCTTACAATTAGAGCTTGATTAGGTGGGCAAGGGTTAGAGCTAGGGCTGAACATTGTTAATTCTATTTTTAAAAAGTTTTTCTCCCAAGTTTGATCCCTGATGTGGTCCAGACTCTTCTTAGATAATTGTAGTTGTGATGATCTAAACAGTTCTCTACCTTTGTGATACAGTGATCTCTTGAAATGATATATTTATGTGGATAACAACACGTCTGGAACTTCAACAGTAAAGGAACAAGCAGTCAAGAAATACATTGCAGACTAGCACTTGGTAGAGTAGCCATGAAGGCCTTGGAAAAAATATTCAGATACTGTGATGTGACTATATCTGCAACGGTCAAAAACAACACGTCTGGAACTTCAACAGTAAAGGAACAAGCAGTCAAGAAATACATTGCAGACTAGCACTTGGTAGAGTAGCCATGAAGGCCTTGGAAAAAATATTCAGATACTGTGATGTGACTATATCTGCAACGGTCAAAATCATGCAAGCCATAGGTTGATGTAGAGTTTAAAAATCATGATGTCAGAAGTGCCATACTGAGAATATGGAATAGATATAAACCCAGGCTGTGCCCAAAAAAATGCCTTTGTGGATCTCAGCACAAGAAGCATTTCATAGAAAAGAAAGAACAGGCAAAGAAAAATGACATTTTGAGATTTGTTAGGACCAGAACACAGACAATATAAGATGAAGTCAAAAGATGAATTGCTTGCAGAGGGATTTAGTTTCCAATGGTTTTCGTATGTACAGCTAAGAGAAAGATTTAAATTACACAAAAGAACATTTGGAATTGAACAACATAAGACAGAATTTGAAACTGAATTATGTGCAAATGACGAACATGGAACTGCTAAAATGTATAAGGTTTTACTGAAATTTGAAATGGAAGAAAAACAAGTTAAAGAATATATGATAAAATGGACTAAGAACAGATGGATCAGTGGGAAAAAAGGTGGCTGGAAGGACTGAAATTCTCATTCTGTAAAAATTCTCTTTAATTTTTACAGAATGATGTACCATTAGTATATGGCCCCAGAAAAAATTTCTAGAATGTATAAAGGTACTTCAAATCTATCTTGGAAATGTGGAAAACATGAAGGGTCATTTTATCATGCTTGATGGATTTGTAAAAAAGCTACAAAATTTTGGGTTCAAATGCACACAGTGATACAAAGAATTTTAAAGATTAATATTCAACTGAAACCAGAACCTTTCTTGCTGGGACTAAGGGTGAGCCTCCCAGAGTCACCCGTTGAGATGAGTGGCATACAAATTTAATAAATTAATTAATTACTTAATTAAAAAATAAGGGACAGAGAACTAGAAAAGACTTACAGATGATTGTTTTTGTACATGTACTGCAGCAACATCATTATATGCACAAAGATGGAAAGACTCTGAAAGACCCACAGTAGAGGAATGGTTGATAAAGATGGCAAAACTGACTTGTTTGATTAGAGAAAAGACAATAACTATGTTTGCCAGTGACTGGAAACTCTTTATGGAGTTTTTGCTGACAACAGAAAAAATGAAATTTTGATTTATGTGTTTGATGATTAGAAAGGAAGAAGGGACCCATGATGTAACCTTAGAGAGAGAAGATAAAATATAAATGCATTTATAATTGCTGTAAAGAAAATTGGAAGCCACTCCTTTATATCTTTTTTCTTTTTCTCTTTCTTTTTTTCTCTTTTTTCTTTTCATTTCTTTCCTATTTACTTATCACTTTTCTTTTCCTTTTATTCACTTTCTTTTTTATTTAAATTGGCATTGTTTTTACTTTGCAAAAAAACTTCTTTAATAAAAAAAAAGAATTAAAAAAAAAGAATCGTGCAAGCCATGGTATTTCCCGTGACACTCTATAGAAGTGAAAGTTGGACTTTAAAGAAGCAAGATAGGAAGAGTATCGAAACTTTGAGCTTTGGTGTTGGAGAAGACTCCTGAGAATACCATGCACAGCCAGGAAAACAAACCGATGGATCATTGAGCAAGTCAGCTGAGATCTCTCATTCAAGGCAGAAATGACCAAGTTCAAATTATCCTACTTCGGACACATTATACAAAGGCCCAACTCTCTGGAGAAGGAGGGAACTGCAGGGAAAGGTGGAAGGAAAGAGAAGGAAAGAACAACCAGCAGCAAGGTGGATGGACTCAGTTACAATGGTGATGAGTGCACCTTTGAGAGCGCTGATAATACCATACAGGGTGGGGATAGATTGTCATGGAAAAAATCTATCTATGTAGTCGCTAGGAGTCGAAAATGCCTTGAGGGCACTTAATCAGTTAAGCAGTCATGTATGGAACTAATGATTTCACTGAGCTTAGGGTTAGGCTAGAAATAAATATGCAACTTAGTTTTGATAATTAAATGTTAACACATTCCTCACTGGGATCCTCAGATTTTGTGGTACAACTACCCACAGTGGATTTGTGCAGGAAAAGTGGGGAACAAAGCTCAGAGTGAGTCTTAATATGGTCCAGCCTTGACTGCGTAAGTCTGATCAGGCATTTTTTTTAACACCCCTTCAGAGTTGCTCATTACTCCTGGGGGTTGGGGGGGGGCAGACTCACACTTTGCGAACCTCTGTCCAAGATAATTGTAAACAATAAAAAGGATCAAAATCAGCTGTAAACCCACAACCAAAACAAAGAACTCAGTTATACTGTTGCAGGATTGTCAATAGATTTCAAGACAGAATTCTTCATGAATAGAACACTTTATAGCTTGTAAATCTTTGAATAAAGCTACTCAGTAGTATCTCATTTCTATTCCACCCAATGAGGACAAATCCTGAATATTTTCTTAGCAGGTCTTCAGTGCCAAATTTGTTTCTTGGCAACAGCTACTGAGAATTTCTTGGTCACAGTGAGATTCTAACTATATTTGGATGATACAATTATCAGGGCTTATTTTAGTCTGGAATATAGGAAGAAATTTGCTTCAGCTGGTTGGTAAATGACTGGGTGGTAGAGCTGGCAAGTAGTCTCTTTGGCTCCCTTCAAATTTTGGTGGCTTTCCATACATTTGACTATGACATTCTTGTCTCTCTGGCAACTGAGGCTTGGATAAACTCTTTGTGATGGTTCTCATCTTCCTTGACTGTTGATGTCCCCAAGTGACGCTTGGGAAGTAATTTTGGACATCACAGGCATTGGACTCTGCGGACCCACCTACTTTGGAATGAACCCATAAGCTTTAATTGGCCCAAATGCAGATAGGCTCCCTCCCGGTTTTTCAGAATTTTGGAAAAGAATTAAGACATGACTTGTAATCTTAACATTTAAAATGGTTCATATTTTATTTGAAATGCTATTGTAATATATCTCTTATGGATGGATGTATTTTTAAAATGTACTGTAAACTGTGACATTTGGGCAAGAACCAAATATATGTACTCCTCACATATGAATAAATAAATAGAAACAAGTTACTTTTTTCCCTTAATGAAGTTTTTTTCAAATGAACTGGGAGTAACATATTAGTTCAACAGTCCTCTTTGTTTGACAGTTCCACTGAAGTGGCAGAAGTTCAGAAACCTGTTCCACTGAGATTTTGTAATGTGCCAGGAAAACTGCATGGATGTGTCCATGAAAGTACTAAGAGTCAAAAGTGAATTGATTGTGCAGTCCACACTGGATTTGTACGCTTCTTGTTCTGAACACAATTATATAGCTGTCCAAGACATGAAGATTCAAAGCTAATAAGTTTTACAAATGTCACACATGAAATGTTATCACTAAACCTAGATTGTTGCCCATGGAGGGAGGTGTATGCTGTCCAGTTGAGGCCGTAATTTGTGAATCACAATTGAGTTGATCCCAGGGCTGGAGCTCTTACAGTGAAAGACAGAAAATATGTGCTAAAGAAGAACCTAGTGACCATAAAGCTAAATGCTGATTTTGTTCCAGTGGGATTGATTTTTTCCACATGGCAAAATTGTCTTTGTTTAATGACATATCATACTGTTCCATTAAACATCAGATTAGAGAAAGCATGCAGAGCCCATGGGTTCCTAATGGGGCTTTTCAGAAGAAACTGTGTGCTATCAAAAGATA